CTAAGGTGCCCTGTCTTCTGCACGATGGAAGTCATGCTGGTGGCACGGATGGCGGGCTAAGGCATGGCCAGGAGGGTGGTCAGCACCCACCGTTTGCTAGCTGTCGTTGTGGACATTGGCATCCCTCCCTTCATCAAGCCCAGTTCATGGTAGCCACACGTTTCTTATGACGCCACTGGCATTGATTGGGCTATAGAAGAACCAAACTCCTTCAAAATCTAAGAGCTGAGTCCCAACCCCAGCTTCTCTGGTGCTTGACTCGCGGTGTGGACAGATGCTTACCCTCTGACCTCAGGCCCCTCCTGAGTGAATAAGCTGAAGGGTCGTGGTCTGGCTCAAGTGGGTTTACTGGTGTGAAAACAAATAAAATAAGGGGTAGACCAGTTGTCAAGTGGCTGGTATTGCTGGTATCGGAAATGAAGACTGTTCACAGAGAGATAATGCTTGGAGGAGAAAGACGTACCTGAGGTCGTGGCTCTAGATTGTTCATGAGTGTTTGGACTACATACAATTTATAACAGTACCTGACATCTCTGATGAGTGAGTTAGACCAGTGTCTCCCTAATTACACATCGTAATACCCGAGGGGCTTACAAACTACAGAGACTGGGGCCCCGGGACCACGTGCCTGTATTTTTTCAAAGCCTGCCACACATTGGTGAAGGCGCGGCCACGAATGGGAAGCACTGAAGTAGACGCAACAGCCCGGTAATGTAACGAAGAGCACTGGACTTTCAATCATGAGCAGTGGATTTGGGCTCAAGTTCTGCCACTGTCTTGGTGGGGAGATTTGAAAATTTGAGAAAAAAAAAAGACTGAAAACCATTGGAGATTGGAAACGGCCCTTGCATTTCTAACAACAGTCTCTGTTTGATGCCCAAACTACTGGTTGTTCTATTCAATTCAGGCAACCTGGCAGCTGTATCATAGAGGAAACCTGAAATCCATGCAGGGGTCTGTGAAACTGGGAGGCTCTTGGGTTGCTGTGCTGAATTCCATTTTGCCAAAAATCAGCTGGTCAGTTTAGCCTCAAGATGATGGGTTCTGTTGATCTGAGTAAGATTTTGTCATTGTTGCAGTACCTAGTATATGGTAGGAGCTTAATGAATATTGGTTGAATAAATAAACAAACATAGTCACCAGCTGTCTCAACATCATATAAGGTGACCTTGATAATTATTACCTATATAGAGTATTACCTTTCTTTCTATCTATCTATCTAAATGTGCCTCTTATATGGCAATTACAAAGTTACCTATTTGCCTTTCTGATAAGCAATGAAATCTCTGATGCAGAGGTAGTGAGATTCAGGGCCCTAGAGGCATTTAAACAGAGATGGATGAAGAAGGTGGTGAGGGTCAGCCTCAGATGACCTTTAAGGTCTCTTTCAACCCATAACTTGTGGAATGTGAAGGTGTGTAAGGTGGCTTCAGCCCTTCCGTCCTGTTCTTGATATCTGAACAACAGAATGAAGGCACGTCAGATGCCATTGGTTCTAAGGCTGTAGACTTTCCTTTGGGACCAAGAGTCCCAGAGCTACTGTTTTGAAAGATTCTAGGAGTTTTTCTGCATTTGGGAAAGACTGATACATTTGTCTACCATTTCAAATTCTGGGATTTACGATGAAAAGGGGCAGGCAGGTAAGATTAAAATGAAAAGCTCAGTCTTCCTAAAGTGCAGGAGGAAGATGAGACTTCTAGAACTCTGTAACCTGCTTATGCACAGAGCTTGCAAATACATCCCCATGACTCCAAGCAGAATACTTAAGAAAATTATCTTCTGAGATGAAGATGGTATGAAAGGAGGTAAATGATAGTGTAACTTTTATAGGGCTGGCCATAGGCCAAAGATGCACACTGGTGGCCCATGGTGGTTCAGAGAACAGATGTGTTTTGGGGCATCCATACCGTATATTTTTTTAAAATCGAGTGAGTTACGAACATTTAAAAATTAGAAGTTTTTACATATATTGAAAAAACATATGTCTGCTTCTCCTGAAAATCCAGAAAAATCTGTCTTCACGGGGCCCACATCCCCTCAGGGCAATAAAAGAACTGAGTCGTGGCTGGCCCCTTCTGATGGCTGCTTCTACTTGACCTCTTCTCTCATTTCTGTTATCTGTGGGGCCCCTGGAGGCATTTCTTTTGATTTCCCCTTCTGCAGGCAAAGCTGCGATTTAGGAGTAGTGTGTCCTGTTACTTAACATGGCCGGCATCTTTGCCACTTGACTGAACCTTGACCGCAGGGAATACGAGTCTTGCTAAGAGTTGCTGCGTCCTGGCACGGTTTCTGCCACATAGTAGAACTCAGGAAATCCACTTCGTTCCTCCCCCCGTTCCATACCTCCCCACCTCCTGGTTTTTCTTCTTTTCTATCCCCCAAGTCTGAACAATTTTTCTTTTAGTGAAAAGGGATACTGTTAATAATTATTCTGGGATAACATGTGTGAGTTTGAACCATTGTGGGTCTGTTAGTTTCCGAGGACTCATAACAAAGAACCCCAAACTGGATGCTTAAAACAAAGTTATTATCTCACAGTTCTGGAGGCAGAAGTTGGAAATCCACGTATCAGCAGGATACCAAGTATCAGCAGGCTTGGCACCTTCTGGAGGTTCTGAGGGAGAGTTCATGCCTTTCTCTAAGCTTCTGGTGGGTGCTGCAGTCCGTGAGGTACCTTGGTTTGTAGATACATCACTCCACTCTCTGCCTCTGTCATCACATGGCATTCTTCCTGTGTGTCTGTGTCAGTTTTTTCTTCTTATAAGGACACTAGTCATATTGGACTAAGGCCTTACCCTAACAACCTCATCCTGACTTGACTGCAGTTACGAAGACCCTATTACCAAATAAGGTCACGTTCACAGCTACAGAAGGTTAGGACTTCAACATGTCTGCTTGGGGGACACAACTCAACCCATAAGCTTCAAACTAGCTTTCTGACCTGAAAAGATGGAGATAATAATTCTATTTGTTAGATGAGTTTCCCATGAGGACTAAATGACCAACATGTCTGGGTCCTCACACGGTGCCTGCAATATAGCTTGAACTCAACAAAAGCATTTCCAGCCTTTTCCCTCCCCTTCCACACCTTTTCCCTCCTCTTCTTCTCCTACTTGGGCACCTGGGTCCTTGGCTTCTCTGTCATTTTGTTCGCTCAGGATAGAAACATGAAACAAACAAAAAAATCCATCCGTTGCCTGATTTTATCCTTCCTGCCATTAATTTCGTAGGTGATATTTAAGTGCCTTCCTTCAAAATAATGTGTTTACCTTTTACAGTATTTCCAGAAAGGATTCAGACTCCAGTGGCATATAGAAGACTGCTCTGTGCTCTCCAGTACAGCATCCCCAGGCCTCCTGCTCTAAGTATAGCTTCTTTTGACAAAAAAAGCCACAGAGAAGCAAGTCCCTCTCCAACACCATCCAGTGAATGGGAAGAGACCCCATTGATCTTCACGGTCAGACAAGAAATGAATATGGGAGCCAGAGGATCACCCAGGCAGGCCTGGGGCAGTTCAGTTCTGGAATAGTGAATGACAAAAACGCCTATTCAGGTCCACTCAGTAAATCCTATGCACCTGGAGGCCACAGGCACACATATCAACAGGCACGTGAGATTTCAGAACCAGCCCCCCTGTAATTCCAAGGGAGATTCTGTCCCATCTGGTGAGTATCACTTTGTGGTTCCTAACTCTTTCTTCCTCTTTTCAATTGGCCACATTTTGTTTTTAACTTCAATAGAAACAGCAAAATTATTTGACTCAATGGTAAGTCCTATTCTAGAACATTCTGTAAGAACTGTAGTTGTCAGCCTTTAATGGAAGTCTACTTGTTGCTTTGTATTGTATTGGAGGAGAGCACAGGTGTGAGCTGATGATAAGAGTTTAATGATTCAGGTATTGCACCTGATAATAATGACAAGTATTATCATCAGCATCCCAACCCCCATATATGATGCTCTCAGATACTGTGCTGAGCACTTTATTTTATGAAATCCTCATATAACCCTCTTAGGCAGATAATGTTATTATCCCCATTTTACAAATAAGGAAGGTGTGAATTCATAGCACAGAATAATATGTATAAAAATGAAGTATCTCAAAACTGTGTAACAGGAGGAATGGTTTAAAGGTAAGAAGATGGACCAGAAGGAATGAGCTTTGACATCAGGGAAACCCGAGCCCAGAACCAGAAATACTTGGGCTCAAATTTCTGCTTTCTACTGTTTCATTGAGTTCTGTCGCCATGATCAAGTCCCATAAATGTTCTCTGAGCCCAGTATTTTCTGTAAACTGACAATTACTACCTTGAAGAGATGTTGTTGATATAAAATTCACTGAACACAGCAGGGCCGACTAAATGGCGGTTGTGATGGTGGTGTTTATGGTGCTGATATTCTGACTGCAGGAGAGGAAATGTCAGGAGACAATGCATACCTCCAAATATTCTAGGAAGTGTCATGTAGAAGGAGAAGGATTAGACTGATTTTATGCAGCTTTTTTTTTTTTTTTTTTTAGGTAACTTTTTGGGTAGATTTTGTTGCACATATTTATACAGTTTGTTGCAATTGACCAATAGAAGAAAGAGAAATTTTGACACAGTCCAAAGGAGAACCTTCTTTGAACTAGAGGATAATGTCCTGCCTGGGCTGTAAATGGTAAAGTTGAGGCTGGGAGACTTTCTATCAAAGGTGCTGAGTCAGAGATTCTTCTTCTCTGGGAGGATGGGCTTGATGATGGCATGTTGAGGATGCTGGCAGGTTAACACATTTTGAGTCTTATGTATAAGGCGATGTGCTAAAATCTGATCATACATCTTCAATTATGGTCCATATGGCTACCTTCTGAGACAAGAACTGTTATCTTCCCGTGGTTTAGATGATGATTTGGTGGCCCACAGAGATTCTGTAACTTTAGGGACGGAGCCAGGATTCGAGCCTCCATTCTGACTCCAGGTCAGAGCATTCCTCTGTTAAGATTCCAGATATGACAATAATAGCTCATAGGTACTGAGCACTTACTGTGTACGAGATGCTTTGCATTTTATGATGTTCTTCCCTCAGATACTTGCTTAGTTTGCTTTTACGCTTCCTTCAGGTCTTTACTGAAATGTCACCTACATGGGTGGGCTTTCATAACCTTTCTCACTTTATTTTCCTCCTTAAGATTTATTGCCAGCTGACACTTATACATTTCTTTGTTTGCTTCTCTGTTAGCCTGCTTCCTCTTCCACTCCCTCTCTTCCCAACTCGAATGCATGCTCCATAAGTGCAGGGATATTGCAGCTTTATTCCTTTCTGTATTCCCAGTGTCTAGAATACTGCCAGACACATAACAGGCACTCAAATATTAATGAATGAAGAAAACGAATGGACAGATTTAATCCCACTAGCAACCCTGTGAAGTAGGTAATACAATCCTCATGTTTCAGGTAAGGACAAAGAGACTTAGGCCAGGTGATATGCTGGGATATAAATCTATGATGGTCTGCCCCCAAAGCCTGTATATTCCCTTACACCAAACTGTTCCTCTAAGACAGTTTGTTACAAAATGCATCATTATTGAATTACGTTCAGGGAAGGAATTCCTATTCTTTGTCCCAAGACAGAGGACAGCATATTCTGTCTAGGTTGTATTCTGTTTCTCTAAATTCCAGAGTCACGTCTATGACCTTAGGTGGAATCGTCTTGCAGTGAATGGGTCATATGCCAGGGCAGTAAATCCAAATCACCCAATAGTTATTAAGCATCTAGTTTTCACAAAGCAATGTGTTTGGCTCTCTGAAAGCTTTTACTTACCTGGCCATATTGAAATGCCATTCTACCTTTATTTCCAGGAAATAATTCTCACGTTGGAGAAATCAGGCTCACTAAAAAGTTTTCACAGTTTGACTTGGTTATGTTAAGTGTGTAGTGGGAGCTGCCCAGTACATACCAAACATAGAACAGTGTGTGATGAACTAAATTGAAATACTTAGTGTTATACCATTTGACACCCACTGTTAGGAAGGCAATGTGCATTTGAAATCTTCTTCATATTTTTTGAGTTTGCCAATGATCCCCTGGGTGGCTCCAAATATTTCAGACATCTGCATGCTATTCAAAGCCCTTTAAAAGTTTACAGAAAGTGATTTAAATCATCTAAGTTATCTTAATACACTATTGAAGAATTACACTTTAATTTTGCGTAGGTCAGTGGGCAGGATTTCTTACCCAAAAACGATTTTTTTTGGGGGGGGCCACAGGGCGCGGGGCATGCAGGATCTTAATTCCTTGACCAGGGATCAAACCCGTGCCCCCTGCAGTGGAAGCGCAGAGTCTTAACCACTGGATTGCCCACTGATTGTTTTCATTTTCACCTAGTTTGACATTTCTAATAAAACTCATGAAATAGTTGCCTCCTGGAGTTTTAAATTGTCAGCAGCGTGTCTAAATGCGCCGTGGATCTGTTTGTTTTTCCAGATCTGAATAATTTCCATTCACAGATTTTCCTCAGATTTCCAATTTGAGGATTTATTTTAGTCACCCATTCTTCTGTTTCCCTCTCTTTAGAAGTTTTGAACTGTTTGTCTTGAAATTAAGTTTTATGAGGATTGGGCTTCCCTGGTGGCGCAGTGGTTGAGAGTCCACCTGCCGATGCAGGGGACACGGGTTCGTGCCCCGGTCTGGGAAGATCCCACATGCCGCGGAGGGGCTGGGCCCGTGAGCCATGGCCACTGAGCCTGCGCGTCTGGAGCCTGTGCTCTGCAACGGGAAAGGCCACAATGATGAGAGGCCAGCGTACCGCAAAAAAAAAAAAAGTTTTATGAGGATGCTGTAAAAGTTATTTTGGGGGGAAGAGGTGCTTTCAAACAATAGGAAAAGAATCGATAGCATTTTATTTTCTTAAAGAAATATGGGAAGCACATGAGGATAATGTCAAGGGATTTAAAATTTTTTCTCAGCACATTACAAACATCGATTTCTCAAACATCCAGTTATCAGGAGATTCTTTTTTTTTTTTTTTTCAAGTCCCAGCGGGGCAGGTAAATTCCACACACTTGAGCACCACCCTGGCTTTTCTTTGCCTTCCAGGTCTTACTCTGAGGCCATACACTGCCGTCGGCCTCAACGGGAGAAGCCGGACCCCCTTTGCCTCGTCCAGGGTCTCCTGGAGTTTGTCAGAGCTTGAGCTGGAAGAGAGGATGACACCCGCAGTAGGCGCACGGGCAAACCCAGATTCCCAAAGCTGGCTCCTGGGTGCACCCGGGAATTCAGTGGGAAGGGGCACAGTTGCCATGGCACCAGAGATGCTCCCCAGGCATCTTCATCCTCCCGGGAAAAGGGGGCCGGGGGCAGACGCCTCTCTCCCCAGCAGTCTGGCAGGAGCGCCCCTTCCTGTGCTTGCCCGTGCTCCCACCCATCTCCCCTCCAAGAGGTTAATCAAGGTTTGCTCCTCTCCGCCCTCCCGCCTACCCCCGCGTTTCCATACGGTTTGTTCACAGGCCCCTCCTAGGCCGAGGTGAATGCTCACTTACACTGACCACTGCGAGGGAATTGTTCCGTGAGCGCTGCCCGTCTTCCAATCAATGCCTGCCCTGAACAACAGAAAGGGCCTCAGATGTACTGGTTTCCATAGAACCATTGTTAGGCTTCACAGAAGCAGTTTTGAACCTAATAAATAATGTCAAAAGTCTCTATCGCAGCCAAAAATGTTTCTTTTGAAGGATTTCTAATAGTATTTTTGTTCTGCAGTGTCTCCCAGTGTCACAAAGAATTTGTGCCTCACAATGGGGATGGGGTACATCGCGTGCCACTTCGCAATGTGCCGCCGTCAGGGATGGCCAGGACCCCGCTTTGTTTTGCTCTCGCAGGTAAACGGTTTCACCTGCCCACTTGGGCTTTAGTTTAAGGATGTTTTCTAAGGGCCTTCTGAGTCTCTAAACAGAGGTTTTGAAAACATAATTGAATGTCTGTAATTTAATAGTTAACATGAAATTTGATTACTGCCAATGTGCCTAGGGGAATTTTCTACAGGCTATATTAAGGTTTTTATGTCAGAAACCTGAAGCTGGATCCTCTCTGGAGGCTCTGAAACACATGGAACTAAGTTTAATGCAAAAGAGATGCTTAGGGAATGTTTTATCAAACTGGTGGTTTTAGGCAGTATTTTTGATTTTGGCTAACGTCAGTTAAACGTGGCAGCTTTTCGCTGTGAGGCGATGCAGAGACTGATTTATCAAATGATTTTATGGGTTTAGTTATTTTTTTTTCTTTTTAATGTGTTATTTTTTTCACCATTCAGAGAGAAACACAAATCAATGTGACCAAGTCATTCATGTGCAGTTTTGCACTCAAGTTTCTTGCAATTTTCCCACAGACTTGGATTCATGGAATTTGATACATGTAAAATCCTACTGCACTTTCCCCTTCAGTTCGAGATTTATATATATATATATATATAAAATGTCTATATACTACTATGTGTATACTATATGTAGTATGTCTATATTTAAGATGTCCTCCTGTCTAAAGTCCAAATGTAAGTTTCAAAGTTTCAATCGAAATGAAATGTTACACCTGATAGTTGCTTAACATTTAGAAGTCTGTTTAATCCTTTGAGGACGATTTGATAGTTTTTGAATATTATTCCCTAGGAGTAATGCACTTTAAAAATGTATCCCCAGGGCTTCCCTGGTGGCGCAGTGGTTGAGAGTCCGCCTGCCGATGCAGGGGACATGGGTTTGTGCCCCGGTCCGGGAAGATCCCACATGCCCTGGAGCGGCTGGGCCCGTGAGCCATGGCTGCTGAGCCTGCGCGTCTGGAGCCTGTGCTCTGCAATGGGAGAGGCCACAACAGTTAGAGGCCCGCGTACTGCGAAAAAAAGAAGAAAGAAAAAAAAATGTATCCCCAAACTAGCGCTTTTCTTGTTCCAGATTAATATGATTTTATAATAAATACGCTTTTTTTTTTTTTATTAGCCTGATTTTAGATAAAAGAATGTACGGGTTATCAATGGTGGTTGCTATGGTTTCCTGAGGATATAATGACATCTGCTCACCAGAGTTCTTGGGACAACCGTAAGTTCAACTTCATGTCATTTGGTTAGGGAGAAGTGGGTGGGCACACTCGTGGGTTTTATGTAAAATTTTGATTCTGGGATATGTTAATTATGAGTTAGCACAATTGATTGTTTTTTTAAGGTCAAGAGAGCATTGCTTTAAGTGATTATAAAACAACCAATATTTTATAATGGTCAAATGCAGGAATAGAAAATGTTTTTGATATATAGTAAATGGATTTCCTCACCTGTGGGAATACAAAATAGTGAATTTACTAAAAAAATACAGTACAGAAGAAGCAATTCTGCTCAGATTTGAGAAAAGGGATACAAGCAAAAGATATAAAATATGTGATACATGATATTCTAAAGCAATTTCCCAATGGAACACTAGAATTAGAAAGGTGCTTTGTGAGATGGAGAAACTAGAGATGAGTATGTCTGGGAGATGTGGCCACGATGCTCCCACTTAGAAAGCCATGGTAATATATTAAGGATCCCCCAAAATCCCATGGCAAAAATCTGATAAACTCTGTTTAACCCAGTGTATCCCAGTTTTATGTGCTCAGGGAACACCGACGTGTGTGTGTGTCTGTGTGTGTGTACACATATATGTATTTTAAAAATATAACGCCTATCAATTCCTTGCAGCGCTAATGTCCTGTGGAACACAGTTGAGAAAACATTGCTCAAAACTCTATTCTTAATATACTAGATTCCATGAAACTGGTAGGGTTCAAGGTAAGGATTTCTTTTCAAAAAAGTGAAGTAAGAATCAGAGCTAAAGAAAGCAGCCCTTCATAAATACCTCCAGAAGCCCATTCTTCCTTGGAGGAATGTAACGAGCCATCTTAATTTTCCTCATTTTGGGTGCACGTGGTTGGGAGTTTAGTTGGTCTAACCATGACCATAGCTTAGATAGTGATGGATGAAGAGCTTTTTCGGCTTTGACTGTCATAGTTATGGGCTACAGGTGTCCAAGTCTTTCTGAATGACACTAGAACTTAGACACAAATGCACCAAGGTAAACATAGTTAAATCTTTCCCAATGTCATTATTTCTGAAAATAGTGCTGATTTAAGCAGTTATAATTGGGTACACATCAATTTTAGGAAATAAATAATATGTGTGTGTGCTTGAGGACTAGAACGAGGTCTTATGGTATAAAATAATTGTTGCTAAGGTTCTGAATTACAGTTTGTTTTTATTTCTTCAGGGATATGTGGTTTGACTTAAGGGACATTTATTACCACATACTACAACAGTTTTCTAAGGAAGATAATGTGTCATTTTAGGGAAAAAATGTTTTTCTGAAAGTTGCACTGGAAAATAGTGATAAATTTTAAAAATTAGTACATTGAAGAAATGAAATATTTAGGACAGTCTCTAGTGAATAATGTTTACACGTGAGGAACTCTGTAAAATAACTAATAATTATGGCAGATAACATTTACTGAGTATGTATTTTATGTTAGGGACTGTTCTAAGCATTTAGAATATATTAATTCATTTAGTCCTCATAACGGCTTCATGAAGTAGTTACTGATATCATTATTGCTACTTCACAGATGAGAAAGCTTTATTTTTAACAATTTTATATACACATGTATATATTGAAGCTTATAATTATATATACATAAGTTACAAACTATATTGTTATATATTATACAATATTGTTTGTATATAAAGCTGTGTTATTACGTTCTGTATCATTAGAGCTAATATATGTACATGTGAATGTGTGTATTCCACCTCATACAGATACCATATATAAATCAGTTTTTATTCCATGCTATTGGTGCCTAAGTGAGGTCAATATAGAAACTCTACTTATATCCGTCTCCTCCTTATAACAAAGTGGAGAGTAGGAGGTGATAGCTGGGAGTTGATGACATATGATATGTTCGAACACTTTGAAGAGCAGAGTGGGGTCAGAGATGATCATCACATCGTTCTTTTTGTTTGAAGCAACATCCTCGCTGTGAATGAAGTCTCAGAAACTCAAGAAAGGGAAGGTGGTTTTGAGGTTTTACTAAAGATGGCAGCACTTTCCAAGGTTATTGGAGCTGACCCACCTCAGCCTTGCGGAAGGGATGGAAGGCTGTAGAGGGGGAGCTAATGAAGAGCTAAGGTGCTGGGGCTGACCTGGGTCTGAAGAGCCAAGAATTTGTTCCCGTAAACGTGACCTGAACTTAGTGTCACTCCATCCTTCGGCTGTAGTTTCTTCACTGTTAAATTGGGATAACGTGTTTTGTTTACTGCAAAGGATACTTGGGGAGCGAGTCTGCTATCAAATCAAAGCATTTGAAAAGCAAGATCACTATGCAAATGCAAATAATTATTTCGATGTTAATATCAACAACAATTAGCATAAATATTACCATCAGTTATGCAGGGCTAATTTCAGGCTTATAGATCCAGCTGCCTTACACTGACAGTGAATATTATTTCTGGTAACCAGGTGATCATGTCTCTCTGAGAAGTTTTATATATCGTATTCTTCACCTTCATCCCGGCATTATGAGGCACGTAGTACAGCAGTATCCCATTTACTGACAAGGAAACAAACACAGAGAGACAAAGCAATTTGTTCAGTGATTGCCCCCAGCACACAAGCTCACAGTCATTCTCTATTAAAAACAATGTAGACAGTTGACAGCTCAACAAAATATTCCATTTAGAACCTCCAGTTTAGAAGAGTTCAGCGTAGAGTATAGAATGACAGTGGGCAGTGTCTACTATCACATGTAATCTTTTATCCCGACTATCTATAAAAGTCTGAAACTACCCAGACAAGGCAGCGGGGGTGGGGAGGCATAAAGCAATGTTGTAAATACCACTGTGATGTTGAGGATTCTGTCATGTAGAGACCCAGGAAAGAAGTTGTTTTCAGGAGTCTACTTTTCCTTAAGATTTAAGAAAAAGAATACAAAATTATGAACATAGGTAGAGGGCCTTGGAAGGGTCTTTGCAAATAGGAGCCCTGAAGCTTAAATTTCATTAGTTTCTTAGTAAATTCACCTTTGAGCAAGGCCAAAGGCATGGATAATTTATAAAGTGAAACGTACCTGTAGATCTATAAATAGACACATATGTTGACACATGGAAGGAGAGAAGAGTTGGCTTCTTGTGGGGCATAGGAGTGAATCTACCATTTTTATCTTTTTGAATTGTTTGAGATTTTGAAAATTGACAACAGCTATTTTTTTTTTATCTAGGCATAATATGTGTGGCCTTTGGAAAATAGTCCAAAGATTTTTTTTTAAAGAATGATTTCAATTGTAAGTGTATTTCAGAATGAATGAACGTTCTTACTTTTCTGATGTTTGATTCTGTAGCTAGTCAGTTTCTAAAGCTTAAAGAAGATCTGACAATCATAAATAATTTAATGTACTTAAATATCAAACTCTCTAAGGAAGAGAAAAAGTTGCATTGTATTTTCAAATTTACCTTTTGAATAGACTACTGAGGAATAGATTGTC